AAATATATATACAATTTTTAATAAATAAATCCTTGAGTTCTTTGGGGTCTCCCCTTGTACAGCTCATGGGCAGCAGGGGAAGTGCAGGGCCAGACACTCAAAGGTACAAAGTCAGTTCACAGGGGTGTTGGAACTACAACCCAGGGGTCCTATTTCCCGGCCTGGCACTCTGCAATTGATTATTGTGTGACTTTTCTCCCTTGGCCTCAGTTTCCCCAGCTGTCCAACGATGGGTTGGATTACCTGCTCCAAGCCCCCAAGCTCCGACTTTCTTGGATTCTACAATCCCTTGGAGGGGAGAGCCAAGGACCTCTGAGCTTGGGTCAAACAGGGAGTCCTGAGCCCCCGGCTCCAGTCCCTTTGCAAGCTGCCTCTGGAGAGTCCTGTGCTCTCAGTTGAGCTGTCCACCCAGGAACAACGTGACCTTGCACCTGGGGCTTGAGCATGGTGTCTTCTTTATTTTCTATCTGGGAACCCAAGATGCCATGAGCCTGCCATGACCAGACCAGCCAGATCCAAGTGGGCAGCGAGAGGAAGTGGACTCAGAAGCCAAAGGCTCAACCTCTGGACCCTATTAACAGTGACTAATCCAAGTTGGATATAGATGGGTTCCTGTGGGGCGGGCAAAGAGGGCCAGGGGCAGAGACATTGTACCACCTCAGATTAACCTTTTGGTCACCCAGAGGAAAAGAGAGGACCCGAGTCAAGCACAGTGGCTCACGTGTGTAGTCCCAGTTACTTGGGAGGCTGAAGTAGGAAGATCATCTGAGGCCAGGAGTTCAAGACCAGCCTAAGCAACATGGCAAACCACCCCCACATTTAAATTTTTTTTTAAAGAAAGAGAGAGAACTCCAAAGATACTCTTGTACAGGTTTCTTACTCCACTGGCCCAAGTTTCAAAAAAATGCATGTAACACCTTCAGCCCATCCCATGCACTGCCCAAGAACATGGTTCTGAACCAAGGCACACAGGTGTATAGCCCACAGCCCATGCACACATACAAATACACACTTGGAGCCGGGCTCGGTGGCTCAGCCTGTAATCCCGCGCCTTGGGAGGCTGAGGTGAGTGGATTGCCTGAGCCTGTGAGTTCGAGACCCGCCTGGGCAACTTTGTGAGACCTCATCTCTACAATAAATCAAAAATTAGCCAGGCTAATGGTAGTAGTGCGCGCCTGTAGTTCCAGCTACTAGGAAGGCTGAGGTGGAAGGATTGCCGGAGCCCAGCGGGTCGAGGCTGCGGTGGCCGGGAGCGGCCACTGCACTCCAGTCTAAGCGACAGAGCGAGACTCCAACTCAAAAAAACCCCCAAAAAACCAAATACACACTGGGAACACACCCACTGGGCACATATGTACAAATATTCAACATGGGCCAAAGGCTCAGAGACCGGGACTCAAAGGCCCTGGGTTTGAGACCCCCCTACACTGGGCACCTCCGGATTTCCAGGAAGTGGCCCCTTTAATTGAGCCTCATCTGTGAAGTGGAGACCACACCGCCGTTTGCTTCACGGAGGCAGGTGGGCTTTGAAAGCTGGTAAGAAGGCGCCTGGACTGTATGTACACACTGAACGCACCCCAACTGCGCTGGAGGGCCGGGGCCAGCAGCCTGTCTTAGAAAGGGGTTTGAGGGAGTCACCAAAGGCCAGCTTTTCTGTCCCAGCTCTGCCTTCATTGAACTGGGTGACTTTGGGCAAATCCCTACTTCTCTCTGGGCCTCCCTGTGTCCATCTGTAAAAGGATGGGGATGGACTGGGGGACCCTGATACGCTGCACCTGCAAGGGCCGGCCTCCCTCTGAGCCCAGGGTGGGAAGGATGGGCTCTTCTCAGACCTGCAGCCAGGTGGCTCTTTCCCAGAAAAGAAAGTGGCAGGAAACCTTCCCAAGAAGGGTGGGGACCGGCACGGCCGGCCTCAAAGTACCTGGTTGGGCAGGTGACCTGGATGCCCTGCGGGGGTCCCAGGGCAGGGGTGGGTCTGGGCCACCGAGCCCA